AAGGCATGTACTATATAGCAGTAACTGATAAGCTTTTGCTTATTAGTTAATTGGTTAATTAACTACACTATTACATCCCTAATGTAGATTAGCATGGGATGATTGGGAGAAGCTGCTTTAATTTCAAATATCCATCTTGAGAACTAGGGGGCAGGTAGAAAGCTGATTGCTGTTGTCAGGAATTTTCTTGCTGTTCTGTTAAGGCATGTACTATATAGCAGTAACTGATAAGCTTTTGCTTATTAGTTAATTGGTTAATTAACTACACTATTACATCCCTAATGTAGATTAGCATGGGATGATTGGGAGAAGCTGCTTTAATTTCAAATATCCATCTTGAGAACTAGGGGGCAGGTAGAAAGCTGATTGCTGTTGTCAGGAATTTTCTTGCTGTTCTGTTTCTTCTCTCTCTCTCTCTCTCTCTCTCTCTCTCTCTCTCTCTCTCTCTCAGGCCTTCTCTACACACTTGTTTCAAGAGTTTAACAAAAATTTCTTTTAAACCCATGTAGTTAAACTAGAGCAAAATCTGGTATATACACTTTTATTTTGATGAAGGAGTGACACTTTTTCTGTTCCAAAAATGCTGAATTAATATAAGCCTGGTTTGAAGCAGTTTAAGAGTGTCCATATGGCCTTTTGTTCCTGTTTCACTAAACCAATGTGAAATCACACTTTGGGTATAATCAGCATATATTTGCATGTAGATAAGCCTTTAATCTTGTTTTGTGCTTTAGAAGTGTCATTTGGGAGTAAAAAACAGGCTGATAAATAAGAGTTAAAACAGCTTCATTGTATATTTTCTTTTCTCTAATTAGATATTCATGAAACAGTAAGTTGTGTGTGGGAATGGAGCCAGGAGGGTCATTAAAGCAGAAGCTCACATTGCTTGTCAGACTCATAGACCTTTGTTATTAATGAGCTGTTAGTTTCCGTTTTCCAGAAATGTTTGTCCTCTCAGTGCGGTGCCTGGGAAAGAACAAATACCTGCTAATGACTCCAGCATGAATATCATTTTAGGCTTCTGCATAGAAATAAGATTCGGCCCTCCCAAAAGTGAAACACACAAATGTATCATAAACAAAATACAGGACTATGTAGCACTTTAAAGACTAACAAGATGGTTTATTAGATGATGAGCTTTCATGGGCCAGACCCACTTCCTCAGATCAAATAGTGGAAGAAAATAGTCACAACCATATATACCAAAGGATACAATTAAAAAAAATGAACACATATGAAAAGGACAAATCACATTTCAGAACAGAAGGGGGATGCGGGGGGTGCGGGGGGGGAGGGAAGGAAGGTGAATGCCTGTGAGTTAATGATATTAGAGGTGGGGAAGGGTAGATGTCTGTGAGTTAATAGTATTAGAGGTGATAATTGGGGAAGCTATCTTTGTAATGGGTAAGGTAGTTGGGGTCTTCGTTCAGCCCCCTGCGGAGAGTGTCGAATTTTAGCATGAATGCCAGTTCAGAGGATTCCCTTTCAAGTGCAGATGTAAAAGGTCTTTGTAGCAGAATGCAGCTAGTTAAGTCGTTGAAACAGTGTCCTTTCTGGTTGAAATAGCAAGAAATTGTTTTTTCTTTGTGATCCTGTCTGATATCTGTTTTGTGGGCATT